TTATTTAAGTAGATACTTCCTGTTTGGAGTTTATTAATTTTCAGTTAGTGGCTAAACTGGCTTTCAGCAGAGAGCATGGCAAGGCTTCAAGCTCTAGTAATAGCTCTGATCCCATTGTTATTTCATTTTTAGACATGCTATATCATTTCAGCAACATTTTCAGGATTTATCTCCTGTAATTTCCCATTAGTTACTTCCTGGAATTTTCCTGTAGAGAGGAAATAGGACTGTGTTACTTAAGAAGAGCCAATTAATGGTACTGCTTTCCGAGAGCAAAGCTGAAGGGCTGCAGTCATGTCCATCTGTCTGCCGGCCCTGCCCCAAAACAACATTTCTTTATGCTTTTAAATTAGAATAAGGTGCTTAGTGTAAGTGCCATGTCTTGCTAATAGTGCATTTGGATACAATAGCAGAAGCAATAATATACAATGAAAGCATGACCCTCTGTTCCAGCTGACATCAAAAAGGTATTTGAAGGCTTTCTACAGAAATAGGACATATTGGGGGAGGGGGAAAGAAAAAAAAAGAAAAAAAAAAAAAGAAAAGTTACATCATAATTGTAATTCTAACCAAACACTTTCTGGTACTATTCTTTTTAAATATTTATTTCTGCTTCATGGTAAAAATATGGGCTTTTAAATAACAGTTTAGATTTACTCCTGCACATTAATTGTTGTCCTTTGGGTACTTCATATGTCAGAGCTATCATGAATAAATTACAGAAACATTAAAATACTGAATCTAAGTTTCAAGAGTGAGAAGAACTAGGTACATGACATAAACTCATTTATAATGTATGAGTATCTAGCTCCTTAAGGTGCAAGACTGCACGTGCTGACTCATAATAAAAAGGAAACAGACATTAACAAATTAGAGCCTGAGTCATACAAATGAAACAGTGTGTGTTATAAAAATAGCATCCACCAGATTTACATTTTAAGTAGTAGAAGATATTAAGAAAACATGGGGAAGTGGGTTTTGTTTTGTGAGGGAGATAGGGACTCATAAAATAAACAGTAAAATGAAAGTGTTCCTTCTTTCAAGGCAACAATACAGAAGATAATTTTAAATAGACTTTTGATGATTATAATTGTCTAGTCCATACACAAAATCAGGCTTATGTCCCCCTCAAAAACTCATATTACTTAATTTAAGCTACTTTGGGGATTTAATTAATGCCACATTATTCCATTTCAAAATTATTGCAACACAATTTTTATTTGCTATATTATCAGAAAGAAGCAGCTTTTTAATCTGTTCTCAGGCAGAATACACCTATAAGATATGTAGTAAAATGCTCTTATCCCTGTTTACGAGTATCAGTTTTGGGTTTTTTTAAGCAAGACTATCTTTTGCAAAGATATAGATGGCTTAGAAAAATAAAGAAATAAAATATGAATTGTATTTTACACAGTGACAGTCTGCTTTCATTCTCCATTTTCAGAGATTGTCACCAACAAACTGGCCAAGATGTTTCTGCTGCAACTTATGATGACATATTTAATATTATCTAACATTAGATAACTGAAATAGGTACTTCACTGACAGGGTAATTGAGGTAAACAGAAACTGAAGAACTTATCTCAATTAGAGCTATTATTTTGTCCATCACTGTCCACCACAGTATCAAAAGAGACAGAAAAACAAATTATAAGAAAGATGGCAAGGCAACGTATAGATTAATAGAGAACAACAAACATGAGGGGAAAAAAACAACCATACTATGCATCTCAAAAGTGTAATTTATAAATATAAAAAAATGCCTTTGAAGAAAATAAAGATAGTGTAATGCAAAAGCAGGAAATCTTCAACTGCACCACATGCACACATGTATAATTTTTAGTCACATTGACACTGCAAATATGTAGGATATTGAGTTTTCCATAATTCTTCCTTTCTAGAAAAACAAATCCAAGAACATTGAAAGCTCTAATGCATTACAGCATACATATGGAAATCTTTTACATTTTTTTTACATTTACTGAAACATCTCAGGCTGAAAAGAGGCCAAGTTGATTTTTTTTTTCCCCTACATATTTTCTAAAATATACTTTAGAAACTGTATAATAGATTAAATAACTTATAGGAGTTAGGTAAAATGCTGCATATTAAGTAAGAGTTACTCCCTAAACACTGTGTCTTTGACTCACAAGGTAGGATTCTTCATGCTAGGCCTTTGCAGCAGTATGCCCCAAGGGAAACCTTACCTGCTGCTTATTGCAACTGTACTAAGTACCGTTATCTCAGATATAGCTGTTGATTTGCACATGAAAGATGCACACAGTTTTGTGAAAATACTTATTTGATCATTTCAGAGAATTCTTTCCTTCCTGATTTCATATGATAAAGTTTCCCCATCGTCTCTTCCCATTCTTAAGAAAGGAACTAACTTTATAGCATACAAAAATACAAGACATCAGAGACACAACCTTTTGAGAGATCCTGTAAATAAATCTCTTGAGACATCAGTTTGCTAGATAAAGCAAAATGTTCCTATGGAACATTTGAGGACTTAGCAACTTAAAGGAGAGAATATCCCAGTGAATAAGAGAGGGGAGACTGGCCACAAGATACTTGTTTTTTTTTTTTTTTTTAATATTTTAGGCTGCCTTTCCAGTGGAACAAGAGGAGTTATGTTTTCACAAAACAGAGCTAATGGTAGCCTACAAAAATCACTCAATCATATAAAAACTGGAAAGGAGATAAAATCAGTGGGAGGGGGAAGGTGTCAGAAATACCGGTTGAAATTCCAAAGATAATTTTGATTCAGTCATAATCCTCATATCTTCTACTTAATTTGTTTAAATCTAATGAAAATTCATCGTACATCATCTGATCAGTGAAATCTTGAACAATTACAAAATTTAATTGGCTAAAGTATTAAGAATAAATATTGAAGCCACTTCTCAGATCATTTCTATAGGGATGAAAGTCTATGCAAGCATCTGGGAATTATGTGAAAAAAAGAAAAAAAAAAATTATCTGCTGTTTATAAAAATTTGTGATCTGAAGAAGTAGCTATTAAAATAAGAATTTCATAATCAGGTTATTCTTGTCTTGTCTCAGAAAACATTCAGAAATAAGTCTGAATACAAAGGAGGATTTAAGAGATATACTGAGACTATATTACTACCAGCACAGCCAGATGATAAAAGACTTAAGTCATATAATATTAGAGAGTTACACTCATTTTCCTAGGAAGAAAAACATAACATATGTTCCGATAAAAACAGATTCCATTTTGAATATTTAAGTATCTGAAAAACAAGCAACAGTGTATGTTACTGTTCCAGAATTGCTCAGTAATTTCAACAAAGTTAATTTATAAAGCCCTAACTTCCAAAAAGCCTAATTAATTAACAGAAAAATCAGTAGAAGCTTTACCCATGAAGAATCACCATTCTTCAACAGTAAATAGAGAATAAGAAAAGGCAGGAGATATTTTCATTGAAATAGCAACAACAAGTAATCTCAGTGAATTAGGTCACATATTTTCCTCAGACTTTTAAATAGTTGATCACCACATTTCAGAGGGGTACTTCTTGTACATCATGGAGCAGAAACAAGTATTTCTGCTACATTTCAGCAATATTGCCATTGTCAGTTGAGATGTGACCCTTGAAAGTACAATTCATAGCAGCAAAACAGACAAATGCTGACATCCAGTGGAACTTCTTACATCATATCTAGTTCTACATCTTAATGCATTAATTAAACATTGAACCTCCTCATCCCTTCCACTACACAAAGGCTAGCACCCATTCTCATGAAAAGTATTGCAGGTCTCCTCAAAATATGCACAAATACTGATGCATCTTTGCATTCTTTTAAAAATGACAGACTTCCTGGCATGTCCTGGTAGAAATCACAAAAAGTATGAACTTAAGTCTTTTAGAGAAAAATAGATCTTCAGATTGTAGCTAGTTATTACTCTACGTTTACATAGTTATTACTCTAATCAACAAAAAGTAGAATAGTTGTATGTCATTTTTACGATATGAAATGACAGTAATGACATAACATAAATGACATAACATTTTCAGTAAAAATATCACCAATTTCCCATTTTCTCCTGCTCCCTGATTGCTAATAGATGAGGTTTAGTTCAGATACACAAGAAAGAGAAGAGAAAACAATTGTAACTTTATAAATGAGAGATGCAACTAAAAACTACAAATCAGAACTACTACATTTTTCCACATAATACTGAAACCCCACACAGCATACTCTTATTAATCTATTACTTGCTCAAATTGTACTTTGAAGACTTATGGTCATATAACATGGCGGGTATCTAAAACTACAAAAACTTCCTAAAATGGTCCCAAATCTTAATTTAGCAGAAGATAAGAAGTGTAGAAGGAAAATATTTCACATCCAAACACAAGGCCTACTGGAGCTTTCTCATCAGGAAAACTCAAAGCATTTCTGCACCACCACATAACATCCACGTGTTATCTAAAACAGTTATTTAATTCTGGGCACATTTTTTTATACAGATCAATAGAACCAAATACATTTTTTATAAAATCTCACTGATTGCCAACTCTATCCTTCACTCTGCCAAATAAAGGAATTATGAATACTGAGTACTCCTTCTCCAGTCATTGCAAACTGTTCACTGTCCACAGTACATACTGCTCTTTAGCTTCAAAAACCATTGAATTATCAATTACTATTTTGGGAGAAAGAAGAGAAAAGTTGTTTTCATGTTTAATGATGTCTCAAAGGATAAGATTAAATAATGGTCAAAAATGTACCCTGGAGGGAAATATTTCCTTAATCTCTTATGATCCTGGTTCATTATTACAGTAAAAGGCCATCTCTGTCCTTGAGTAATATCACGTAAATATCATTGTTGTCATTAGTGAAATAGCCAGTTAACCAGAATAAGTTTTAGATCATTAGAAAGTGCATTATTGACTTTTCAATAGGCATACACTTTATAATGGATATGAAGCTTTCAGTTTCCCATGAAATAAAGGTAATAACCTACTTACTTTTCTATCTGGCCAATTATATTTTGCAAATATGGTATCATATGTGTCCACAGCTCCATCAGTAATCAACATTATGGCTTGGCTGCAAATACTTCCTTGCCCTGTGTGATTGAACTGTGAACGGAAACAACCGTTTGGTTACAACACATTCCTCCTAGACGAAGACAGAAAGGATCACACTGGATAAACATGTATCTTGTCAAATCTCTTGCATGCTTATAGGCAGGTGAAAAAGTCACAGGTTGAAAACATTCTCTCATAGATATTATGTTCTTACTAACTTTTAACTTCAGTTGTGTAACAGAATAGACATTTGTAGAAATATAACCCCATTTTGTCAACTTGAAAAATAAGAAACATACTTAAAAATAGCACTTCCACAAATTAAAAGCGCATTCCCCTGTTTCAGACAGATGATTTGTACTGACGCAGCTACATAGAGTTTGCTTTGATTTAACTATAATTTTAAAAGAACAGGCTAAACAAAAAGAAGAATGACTGATAATTTTATTGCAAAGTACAGAAGGTACAGTACTTGTGGAGAGACACCTGACTATTCCTATGGCCTTCATATTCACTCAGGATTACATTCCATATCTTATTTTTCACATATGTTTATCTGGGAGAACCAAATAAATATTCTATAATCTCAGATTCTCCTATTACTAAAAATGAGTACATGTAAATAATTCAAGCTGATGAACAGCAGTATGTGAGCACAGGTATGCAGACAGCAATCAACGTATCCTTTGGAGTATGCAAAGAAAGTTTCATTGTTTCACAAATAGGATTTTCTCCTAATTAAAGAGCAAGCAAATTGGACAGAATCATAACATATGCTTTGATCTCTTGATTGTGGAGTGGGTGCCTTAAGTTTGATTTTTTTGTGCCTCTGTTTGCCCTTATTGCAGAACAGATTCTTATTTGTCTGTGTGTCATTTTATATATTCAAGGAACATACATGAAACATCTGCATTTTAGCAAAAAAATGCAAAGTCAGAAAACTATTTGATTTTTAATTACTCTGTATAAACAGGAATCGATAACCCAGGACATTACACACAACTCTTTATAGACTGGGCTAACGTTTGAAGACATGTTAATAAATAATCTCCTTTTGTCCTCTTCCTACATAGTTTGCAGGTACCTTATCAACTTTGTGATCACACAAGGCCTCATCCAACCACCTTTCTTTTGGTACAGAGAAAGCCAAGCAATAATTACCTTGTCCCCCCACCAGCCTATCTCTGATGAATAGTGCACAAAAAAGGGTGATCCCCTTTAAGTAGGAATTAATTTTAAAGGTGAATTACCTTGCAGGGATGCTGCTTCTGGATTCAACAAAATTTATTCAGTATTCTAGTTTGATTTGAACTAGCAACTGCTCTGTCTTTTAAGCTTTCTGCAGTCTACTCACCCTTGTATATTTGCCATTCTTCCCAAAACTCTAAAGCCCTTTGTTTTGGTTTGGTTTGTTTTTTTTATAGCAAAAGTTCTTAATTTCTAAAAATGTCATCTTTGTAAACATATGCCTGCAGTATAAAATGGAGTGGATGGTGGGTTCCAGCAGTACTGTCCTCTTTTCTTCTGCCTTCACATGTCTATAGCTGAGTAATCACATCCACAAATATAATTCTACAATCATTTCTATCATGTGCAGCTCTCCTCCAGATCAGTTTCCTTTTGATCAAACAGGAACCACAGCAAACAGTAACGGAAACATGTAACTTAAAGGAAAACTAATATGGGTTTAGTTTAGAGTTAGCTGTATTCTAGTCATTGCCTGTGTGAAAACTCTATCTCTGATACCTGCAAGGCAGTCTATCTTTGAAATTCTTCAGTCATGGCAGTTTTTTCCAGTTTTAACCAGAACCAGAATTAGTGAAGTGGGATTCCTTCATTAGTATAATGTTAGATCAAATATGTTCTCATAAAGATAAAGTTACTTTGTCAAGGAATATATTCTCCATATGGACAACATATTTTGAAAGAGAGAAGGTACATTAAAAGGGAAATTAATGAACAGGGAATGCCTTCATAAATTTATTTTAAAACACCATTCTGTATGCATCTGCATTATTCTACGTAATTATCTGTTCAAATGTTTTGAAGAATGAGATTGAATTCAAATGCTTTGATGAGTAATATCTTCTTATATTTGTCTAGAACTTTAATTTTATTGAATAGCAAGAGTGATGAAAGTGCTTTCCATAATAATAACAATGACAAGAGCCTTATGATGAACTACAATTAATTCAGTGATTCATCAGTTAGAAGCAAAAATTTCAATGCATCCTGACATTTACAGCATTTCGTTGTGATTAACAGTCTTTGAAATGTCACAGAATTTTAATTAATTTGCTATGATTTTTTTTAAAGGTAATCACTGCAAAGACCATATTTGTCACCAAAAGAGATAATTGCAGTTGTCACATGACATAGTAGGTGCCTAAATACTGTACCAAGCACTTCTATGTTCTTACACTGTATAATGAACACTACATAAATTGATGATTGGAAAGAATTTGGAAGTGGATTTTTAAACATGCTTTTCAAAAACATCACTATCAACCATCTTCAAGTCTTAACAACCTAGACAAATACTGAAAGGTAAATTAACTGAGTTTAATTAGTGTAACCCCTGAATCATTCTAAAATCCAACCAGAATCTTAATAGGCTATGTAAAATAAAGCTCTTTCTTTTTTTTTTTTTTTCCTTTCCTTCTTTCTCCCCCCCTTGTTTTTTTCCCTTTGATCCCCACCTTACTTTTTTTTAAATGTAGACGAGACATTCTTAAGTTAATGTAAAATTCACAAGAATAGATTTCTGGCACATAAAGGTCATATCCTGTAAAAGTAGAAAATGGTTAGCTGTACTCTTTTAAGGTGAGATTGAGCAGCTTTTTCTCTGGCCTAGGTTGCTTAATAGAAGCTCCCAGAGAATTTTATAATATGCCTGTATATAAGGGAAAAGATTTTTATGCTGTCAGTTCTGGAAAAACATATGCAAGAAGGCTTGAAGCTATTGTACTCCCTTTTATATTTATACTGTAGCTGTATAGTATAACTATAACTCTTTTATAAATACACGTAGCATGATCCATCATGACCTTACAGATCAAAAGACTCACTTATCATAGGTACAATTCAGTACATTATTAATATGAAATGTATATATAAATGTAAATTTGTTTCTATGTTTCATCACATAAGGATTCTATAGTATCCTTGTTGTATAGATAATATTTTACTATCATCACATTTTTGAATGAGTTCTAACATATTATCCCAAAGTTGACAGTCATTGCTAAATGGGAAGCAAGGTGTCAACAGCGTAATTCTGAAAAACATTTACTTACTTCATTGAGCATGTTGAAGGCTTCATTTAAAGCAATGTCCAGCATTCCAATTCCTTTTGCAAAAAGTTTGTCAAGGTGTTCCCTGAAATGCTGAAACATGAACAAGGCACTTTTACTTGTATATTTGTACATTTTTATATGACAGTGTAAATATAGTACATATGTAAAATATATATAATATAATAACATATTATATCTATCATATATAACATTTATACAATATAGCAGAATTATTATAGTGATATTATTT